CTTCCTTCGTCCACTTCACAAAGTGGAATGCACTTCAAAATTGCAGCAGGGATTCCCCGGGGGAAGTTCTTAGGGAAGTTTGGGGATATGTTTACAGTGACAAAATGCAGTGACAAAGCGTCAGGTTTCGTTGGTTTCAAGATGCAATTTTATGGTGTTGTAGTATGTCCTAAAGCTTGCCTATATTGTTCTGCACACTCAAAAGTATTGAAGAAGAAAAAAGAGAAAAAGAGTACATACTTTTAGGGCCAGAAGACAAAATTACATTTATATTCAAGGTAAATTCTCTGAAAACAAGCTGTAATGTCTTGTGCAGATTTGCTTCTCAGGTCAAAGTAATTGTTTAGTGAATGTTTTCCTAAAAAACAAAACAAAGACATTTATTAAAATGTTTTTAAAACTTGTTTTAGGGATGTTTAGATATTTTACTGGTAAACAATACCAAAACGTTTATCAAGAAAATTATGTTTTACACTTTTTACATAAAGGCAACTGTTTCCTCTAGTATTTTCTCCTTACTGTGCTAAAATTAGCACTTACTTATTAATACACTGTGGAGCAGCAAAAGAGATAATTGCTTTGTCAGTCACTGCTGATAGTGTTTAATGTGTCTCAGTAATGAACACTGCACCGTTCACAACAAACCTGCGCAGGCGGAAAGACAAATGCCAATATCTCACACCGGGTCTCATTAGAGGCTAGATGGTCTAAATGTATTTCCTGAAAACAATCGGTTCCAGGGGCTGTAACTTTTTTTGGGTGAGAGTATCATATTCTTGTCTGCTCAGGAACTCTTCTCAATCTGTAGCAGCCCACGTTTCATGTATCATCATACATACATCACACACACACACACACAACGAACTGACACTCAGAACCTGGAAGCAGACTGAGCCCTCATCTGCTCCGTGGACGTGGGCTGGGTGACAATCACCAAACCGCACTGATTGTGAACAGAGAGAGATAAGAGGGGGAGGAAAGGAAGGTGATGAGGAGGATGTATGTAGAGATGGAGAAATGTGTTGATCAGGATCAGGGTTGGCTGAAAGGGTGAATAGAGTTGAGGAGAGAAGGGAGCTTACGGAGAAAATGTTCCAGTCAGGAATGAATGCTGAACAAATAACCTCTTTAAAGTTGTGATATCGCTCATCACCTTTAAAGGAATATTCCACACTTAACTTAAAGAAGAATTGACCCTCAAGTTGTTCTAAGCCTGTACGACTTTCTTTTTTTGTTGAACACAAAAGAAGATATTGTTGATTATCAAGCAGTTGCCGGTAGCCATTGACTTCCATAGTATTTTTTCCATACTACGGAAGTCAGTGGCTACCGGCAACTGCTTGATAATCAACAATATCTTTTGTGTTCAACAGAAGAAAGAAACTCATTCAGGTTTAGAACAACTTGAGGGTGAGTAAACGTTGACAGGATTTTAATTTTTGGGCACTCTTTTCAATATAGTGGAGGACTGTTGCTGTCAAACTTCATAACGGTCAAAAAGCAGCATGAAAGTATAATATATAGAAGAAGCCTATGCACTACATTCCCAGTTTTCTGAAACCATATGATAGCTTTGTGTGAGGAACATACTGAAATTTAAGTCAAACAACATTTCGCCAATATAAAAGAGACGTTTAAGTATTTCATAGATGAATACCACAGATATCATATCTTGAATGAATATTACTCCAAAATAACAATGACAGTGAGGGAAAAACCCTCTAAAAGCAAGTCAACAAATCTGATGTCAGCAAAATGGATGCAGAATGCATTTCTGATCGGCTAGTTTTCTATTTAGCTTTAGGGCCAGATTTACTAAACGGGGCAAATTCTTCGTCATGCCTAGAACTGATCCGTGCTGGTCGCTGAGGAAATACATCAACTTCGCGCTGTGGATTGCCAGATCGGCTTTCACCGTGGACGAAGCGGAGTCCAGCCTGGGGTCGTCACATGTGGTGGTTGCCGCAAGCCTGCTGGCCGCTCCTTCGTCGAATCCGCCAGCCGCGCCATTCTCAAAGCCCGCCCACCCGCCCACCCGCTCAAATATTCAGATGTGTCCAGCGCATTTTATGGAGGACTGTTTCCTGATCCTGATAGAGTAGACTACAATGCCGGCTGTTCTGACTCAAAGACTGTAAGTACGTTTTCATTTTAAGGATTTGCCACTGATGATTCAAACGCGAGTTTTGAGCAGTGTAGAGTAGCACTTGTTGTTTTTCATTTCTCCAATCACAAATGCAGACATGGGGCCCGTTCTTCATACGTCACTAACTCAGTTAGCTGGATTTGATTGTTGACGATTTGGCATGATCTTGGATTGGTTGGTTCTTCGAAGCTCATCCTGGACTTGCTGTCATAGCAACAGGTCCGTAAGCTTAAACCTGCTTGGCAGAAGGCTTATTTCATGTAAACAGGATTAGATTGCATCTTCTTAAGCCGAATTGATACTTAAAATCTGTCCAATACCACCGCTACTTTATTACAAGAGTACCCTACTAATCCAGGGACAATAATTTAAAATAATAATCATTTAAAAATGTATTTAAAGATAATAAAATAATGTTGTGTAGTCTTTCATACTATAGACACAGCCAGTTTTACTCACTGAAACATTTATTCGTCATAAAATTATTACTTCATAATTATATTCGAGTCTTACACACATGCTATACAGATAATGAATGTAGAGTCGTGCATTAATTTGAGTGATGACAGCTATTATGGGAGTGGCTTGATGGAGCGTAGGAGATGCAGAGAACATGATCTTGAACCTTAAGAAACTTTAAATAATGCTGTCACATAACAAATCTGTTCAAATATAAAATTAAATGAATTGCTAATTACTACATTGAAATAAAAATGTAAAGCCTGTACAAATATTAGAAATCATGAATATAAATAGCCTAATTGGGAATTATGTAAAGAATTAAAATAAAATAAAAACAGTGCAAATTTCATTTACTCCTCCCATAAATTTTGCATCTGAAAGGGAAACTCCTACAAATACATATTCAATAAGGTCAGGCAGAAAAATAACTGTCCATGCCTTTTCAGTGCTAATTCTTCACTGGGCGTCTTTAGTAAATCTTGAAAGTACGATTTTAACGCCAAAAGATTTTCACTTTTTTCCTATTGGAGCATCAGTTTAATATTCATGATAAATGAACAAAGGTCTGTGAGTGCATCTAAGCCTTTAATATCTAAAACAAGTTCAAGTACAATAGAAACCTTTAAACAGTAGTGATGCTGCAATGATTGCTGTTGGGAGCGAGGGTTGTTGTTTTTGTAATGCTGTTGATGATGTGATGACAGAATTCTATTCAAGCCTATTAGAAGAAGGCAGAAGCCTTGGAGCTTGTAGAAGTGCAAGGTTTAGGGTCACTCGCTGTGTCATTGAAATCAATCATCTCTGAACGCTCCGTGCATCAGCGACATAAACCCTCCACCCCCTGGGCGCCAGCGCACCAATGAAAAACAACCTTCTGCCCACACTATGGACATCATTACCCTTTTAAAACTCCTCTCCACGAGAACGCTGGGCTGACATAGGGCCTCTGGTGGCTTTGAAGGACAGGCTCGAGAAGATTACAGCTGTAAAGCACATCATTGTCGGAGAGAGAGAGAGAGAGAATTCATAGATGTGCAGCCTATTGAAAGGATAGCCAATACTTGAAGGAGGAAGATAAGGCTCTGGCCATGCAGCCAGACGAACCTTTCTCCAGGGCTAGTGTGGATGAAGACAGTTGAGTCTGATTTTGAATGTAGAATGATGCCGTGGTGGGATTTTTGACATCAATGACCAATTATTAAGGACAGACACTTGAATTTATTCCTGAATGGATCAGAAAATTTTAAAAAAAAAAAATATAAAAAATATATATACAATATATATATATATATATATATATATATATATATATATATATATACTGTATATACAATTTTTATATTATTTATTTTAAAAAGTATATAGTTTTTGACTACTGCACACTGATGACATATAATCTGAAAAAAGTGAAGTAACATGCATCACTCGCTTCATAACATTTTACCCACGAGCCATTTAAAAACACTCCCTCCCATCTTCAATCCCATTTACTGACACAAAATCATATCCTCAAATGTAATCATGTCAAAGCGAGAGTTTTGATGTGGCGTGAACTGAAAAGGTTACGTGTTAAATTGCAGAGTGGATGATGGATGTCAGAGCCGCTCACACCGTGCTTTAGGACTGTTGGCATGATAGACTCGCCAAGCTTCATTACACATACATTTTTCATTAAAGTTTTAATTCATTCCTCTAAAATTACCCTCTTATTGAGGTCAGTGTGTAATGTTCCTATTAACATAGAAAACTTGCAGCATTATTTTAAATCACATGCGGCCTTTTATTAGTAAGACACATTAGGTTTTGATTTTAGAGCAAGTTATTGTGAAAATGCCAGAAGATGTTGGGCCACTTCATTTAAACAATGTCAACTCATCAGTCCACAGGCCTCTCAGAAACAACAGTCACTTAGCAAGAACAAAAATGTAACAGTAGGCTACTAATGTAAAGATCATTGTTGAGAAAAATTAACTAATCAATCACAAATTGCCCCATTGTGCATTTACTGAAAACATTACTCACTGAACATTAGTACATGGAAGATATCAGCAGGGAGTTAGTGTGTGGGCTAAGAAAATATAAAAGATTTGATGAACCATTCAAAAGCTACCGTGCTAGGCACAACCAGGGGTTAAAGTTTAGCTAGTTAGCATAGTTAGAAGCTGTATCTACACAATTGCTTCTAACAAATGGCATTGTTCGCTGACATGTTAAATTTGATTTATATTTCCCACTGTCAAATTTGATTTATATTTCCCGCTGTCTGCTACATTTGACATCACAGCCCAATTGCCCAACCCTATCGAAATGTCATGTGGCTCCAGAGTAGGCCTAAGTCACATGACATTTGAAGCAGGTGATTGGTTGAAAAAGTATGCACCCATGAGCAAAGATGGCACTTTACAAATCACTGAGGCCTTTGTACTGCTTTCTCCAGATATTTTAGGCATCCTTGATAATGATATTTGCGATGTAAGCAACAGTTTACAACACAAAAGTATCAGGCCACAACACAACAGCATTTCTTGTTGTACACGTGTACCCTGGGAAAATCAAAATGGGAGATGAAGGTAAGTTTGCCATGTTTTTGTTTACAAAGTACAGTAAGATTTTTGGGATGTTACACATTATAATGTGAGCATCGCAAAATGGTAGCAATTTTTGATGCTATACTAGCATTAAAGCTAAATGAGTTTGTCCTAGAGAACTTAAGATTATTGATCAAACATGATTTTAATGCAGCAGTTTTGAATGTTCTTTTGGTCTTGTTGTGTTGTTGGCTAGATCCTTTGTGATATTGTGTTGTTGGCTGATATTTTTGGCTACTGTAGTTGTGTTGTCATTATTATTTGCTTCATTGTTGTGTCCATCTGAGTCACGCTGTGACCGTAGCGTACCACTCCACTTCCGCAGCATAAATCTAGAGAACTGACCGTTAGCCTATATATAGAATACATCTGAGACTATAAGATTTCTTTTTATTTAAAGCACTCTTGAGAGAACATTGTATTTACCTTACAGTCCAAAATGATTCTATGCTTCATTATTTATTTAGACTCAATTTCCTGAGCATCTGATCAATCAGAGGTCCATTTCCCTCCGGACATGTGAAAATGTATATGATTTGTTGAGGTTGCAGTCATTCTAACAGTAATTATCTGCGATGGACGTTTTTTTAAAAGATCAAATTGAGAAGTGCAGCCTGACTGAAACAAACTAATAAAGCTTCAGATAGCTGAGACGGGAGTAAATGCAATAAAGACAGGAGTGAATTATCTTACAGGAGCTCAGTCGCCACTGGGGAAATTCATTTAGCTCTCCTGCAGTGAGAGATTCTTGGTGTAAGAATGTCTGAGATTTCGTTTCAGCCACACTAACAAAATAGAGAAACTATTTATGTTTCAGTTTAGCCCTGAATATAACAAATAGCTTCTGAAAACAGCCTTAATTTTTCTGTGTTATCTATGGTTTTGAGTTTCTTTGAATGCAATAGAGTGGAGTCAATTTAACTAAGATTGGCTAGATTATCTACATCTTTTTTTTCTGTTGAAGTGTGTATATATAAAACATATATTCACAGTATTAGTCTGACAACATGCTATAATGTCAGACTGAGCTGCTTGTGATTTTTATGGTTTAGATTTATGTTTATGCATTTGGTTTTACCCTGTGGTGCCTTACCTTAACTTTATTTTTTTTTAAAGACCAAAACAAAACAATAACTGAGAGCCATTGAATTGCATTGCAGCCTTTGCATTTGAACCCCACAGTTTGGTTGAAATATTTTCTTTCTTGAAGTACACAGTAGACCGTGACTGATGACACTTTGGAAGTATGTGAATTGCAGTTCAAATTAGGGGGAAATGCACTCACATCTTACTCATTACGGTTGTGGATCAGGTGGGATGTGTGAAGATGGAATTGTGATGGGAGGCAGATTAGGATGGAGAAAGAACTGTAAATTTAATGTGCGGTGAGCTCTTTTTGTGTATGTATGAGAGCGAAAAGAAGACTGAGAGAGGGAACAGAAATGGAGAGAAAGAAAAGAGGGAAACAGAAAGATTGCGGTGAAGCTTTAATGTCTGGGAGAATGTCTTCCTGGCAGAGAAGATGAATAGAGCAGCACGTCTGAGTTATCTCCTGCTCAAAAGCAGAAGCTCCCCTGCTGATCAGCAAGCTTCAGGTCTCATCATGTACTTACACTCTAAAAATATACACCCAGATACCTCCGTCGCCACACCTTTGCCTCTCTTTACTTGCTTATCTCCTGCCATTTCTCATGTCTGAATTCATTTGCATAAGTTCTTTCTTCTAGAAGTGATCTGGGGGAATTTCCATAAATTGCTCTCTGATTCTTCAACCGTTATCACTGTGCCATTTTTAAATTTGTGTTTTCACAAATAAAGCCTAAAGGACTTATAGATGTCCCTTTGTGTGTTGCTCTTTCCAGACATGACACAATACTTTTTGAATTGCTGAAAAATAGGCAGTTAGGTCTCTCAGATGGTGAGAGACACTCAGATTTGGATGATGAGATAATATCTGTACAAGGTGATACAAATTGTCTACCTTTACAATGTGTACAATGGATGTGTGATGTTTAAACTCATTTGATATATGGTATTTTTATGTGGTCCATCCACAAGGTGGCAATATTTCTTGATCAGTCTTGTGCAAACACATTTTCGACTGGTCCAGTCCACTTGGCATTTTTCCTGGCCTTTTTTTTTTGACCGACATGTTCATGAGACACACCATAGTTTTTGTTTTTGCATGCAGTTTAGAGGTGGATATTTCTGAAATATTTGAGACCTCAGTAGTTAGTCATTGTGGAAAAAGCAAAAACACTATGCAACATCATCTTGTAGTTAACTGCTACAAACTTTGAGTGTCTTAAAATGATTAACCTGGCGTTTTTCGCCAATCCAGTGAGTAGTACTTTCTCAAAATTGCTTATTGCATTAAATATACTTGAATATATACGTTGATTTTTTTTAGATGGTAGTCCCAGTAGTAGTTATAATGCCATATGTATCAGATGTCTGAGATACTTATTGAGTTTTGTCTGTTTTAGAAAAAAAGGGTTGCTCATCAAAAATGATAATTTAAATGATTTATTTATTATTTTGTTTTAAAACCCTGGTAACAGTCTCTTGTCTGAATACTACTTCCATACTATGTACGCTGTTCAAAAATTTGTGGTCAGTAAGATGCAATGCTGCATTTATTTGATAAACAAATCTGTTAAAATTGTTAATCAAATGAATGTTATTATTGTGAACCATTATTACAATTTCAGATAACTATTTAACTATTTTAATTATTTTAAAACTTAATTTATTCCAGAATTTTCTGCAGCCATTACTCCAGTTTTCAGTGTCACATGATCCTTCAGAAATCATTCTAATATGCTGATTTAATGCTCAAGAAAACGTTTCTTATTATTATCAATGTTGAAAACAGTTGTGCTGCTTAAAATTTGTATGAAAACCATGATAAGACAGGATTTTTTTGATGAATAGAAAATTCAAAAGAACAAGATTTTAATGTAAAACTTGTTTACTATCACTCTTGATTCATTTAATGCATTCTTGCTGAATAAAAGTATTGATTTATCTTTTAAAAAATCTAACTGACCCTGGCATTTAATTCAAAAAGTAGCTCTTCATCAAATGCAGCTATTTTGGATGCAATGACTCACCAAAAGTGCTTTTAAGCAGTGGGTGAAGTTCAAATTGTATTTATTAAATTAGGTTTATTTAAAACCAAGAGCGTTCATTCATGCAATAACATTAGCAATTATCAATAATTTTGTACTATTACAGTCCTTAGGATTTTTTTAAATCACTTCAAGACTTGAAAGGTGACTAAAAATAATTGTACCTTAAAAAGTCATATAACAACTCTGAACTGAATTCTAATCCTTTCAGAAACCAAGCAAATCTCTTTGATTGTAATATATTACATAGTGTTTATTGACTGCAGTGCAGTTGTACGTTGTCAGTGTGCCGCATTACGTAAGGTCAGAGGTTTACTTTCACTGAGAGCTAATGGTCTGTGCCGGTTTGCAGATCACAAAAGAGAAATCTTAGAGTTCTGTCACTGTGATAAAGTGTCTGTGTAACCGTGAGGATCAACTACTGTGCCGTCAGTGGGAAAGTGCTGCTGACATCATTGCTATTGGCAGCTAGGCAGGATGTATTGGTCAGTAAGGGCATGGCAGTGAATACTGGACTCTATAAGATCTAGCTGTGTGCAGTGACATATGCCCTTAATTACCCGCCGTTCAACCCTGTACAGAAAGCAGGAGGAAAATGTGTTTTGAACACTGCGTTACCGATAAACAAACAAGTAATGACTTATTAGCATTGCCTCGTTCCAATGACTGCTGCGTGCTGGTTTGACAGAGTAGAGTAATTAATTTCATAAATGTTAAATATGGTAAATTAATGTTGCTCGTGTCCTGCATAGCTTGAAGGGCGTTATTTGACGGGTTTGCCAACCTCCCTCTAGCAACATCTGAATTTGAGTTATGACTTAATTTGGCTAGCGTTTAGATGTGAATATTAATTTTCTTTTGCTAGTAAGTTGAATAGGGCATTTGAGTTTATATATATTTATTTTGTCTGGGGCCAGATAGTCATGCTGAATCTTCGCATAATATATATTATACTGTTAGTGAAGGATTTGGGACTGTGTGGGTTCCTGGGGTGCAAATATGATACAGAGTTATTAGTCCCATGGCATTGTATAAGGTCTTGTGCCAGCCAAGCCACTGCTGAGTGGGAATGGCTTTTTCCAGGTATTATAGACCTAGAAGGGAAAACATTGGCATGAGTGATAGAAGTGAGAGAGATTTTATGTTAGAAAAAATGCAATTATTAATTGCAATGCATTTTTACAGAAAGGGTGTAATCACAATGTAGTACCATTTTGACTGGCATGCAATTTGACTAGTTGATTTATGCATTTACACTACCATTCAAACATTTGGGGTCAGTAAGGTTTTTTTTATTATTATTTTTTTATTTTTATTTTTTTAAGTAGTACTTTTATTCCGCAAGGATGCATTAAATTGATCTGAAGGGACTCTGTCATTAATAACATTTATGATGATTCAAAAGATTTATATTTCAAATAAATGCTTTTTTTCAACTTTCAGTTCATCAGAGAATCAAGAAAAAATTATCAGTTTCCTCAAAGTAATACAGCCGTTTTCAACATTGATGATTCAGAGGACAATTATTCACAGGAATAAATTAACATTCTAAAATATATTAAAATAGAAAATAGTCATTTTAAACTGTAATAATATTTCACAAAATTGTAATTTTTACTGTATTTTTGATCAAATAAATGCAGCCTCGTTTAACATGAGGGACGTCTTTCAAAAACATTAAAAACATAAAAAACCCAAACATTTGAACAGTACTGTATGTCATTTTGTGCATGAATGTCTGTTATGTAGCCTATATATCTGAGTAATCTCATATATACAATACATTTGAGTGAGTTCATTGACTTTCTAGCAAAGCGCTTCAGATAACTGGTATTCATTTACTGTTTGGCT